AGCTGTGTAAAGGGCCCCCAAAAAATGGAGCTGCTTCCCGTTCTCCCAGAACATTGATTTTTGTGACCACAGTTACAAACCGCCTCCAGAGAGCCCGTTCTACACCAGACCAGTGGAGCCAGACTGCAGCTAGAGCCCATCATCATCCTCATCTGGTTGTAAGTAGGCAATCTAGCATATTATTTGTGGCACTAATCTCTAATTTACATGGAAAGGGGTTCTAATATAAATGGAAGGGGTAGAGACGGGTAGTAAAATGTATGGAATGCATTTCTGAAAGTGTCACTGAATGGCAGTTAGGAAATGTGGTCACCATAAGTCATGGGCAGTATTACACAATCTGTATATGTATAAAAAAAATATAAAAAGTAATCTGCAAAGTACAAAATGTTTGTGTCATATGTCGTGCTAAAAATTAAGCTAGGAATGTGCATTTTTTTAAATTTTTTTAAAATAATTTTTAGAATAATGATATTTCTTACAGACATTTTATTTCTTACATTTGTGATGATTCTTTTTTCCTCTCTATATTCAAGGGACACTATAGTCACCAGAACCACAACAGCTAAACGTAGTAGTTCTGGTGTCTATAGCATGTCTTTGCAGGCTTTTTAATGTAAGCACAGCCATTTCGGAAAAGGCAGTATTTACATTACTGATGAGGAATACCACTAGAGGTGCTTCCTAGTCGAGACATGAATGCCGCCCTATGAAGTATCTGTGCATGTGTGGCAAAGCTGCGCATGCGCACCAGAGAGCAATGACGCTTCTGAATAGAAGCGTTTTATTGCTCCCTGCTCGCACCCTCCTATTAAGTCATTTTGACGAAATAGGGGGCGCGGCATCAGGAGGATCCCGGCGCTGTATCCAGGTAAGTAAAATCCCTTCCCTGTAGTGACTCTTTAAAGTTATTATTTAATCATTTATATAGCGACTGCAAATTCCGTAGCGCTGTACAATGGGATAAACAACTCCTAGTTTACGGAATAAGAATATACCCGGCGAGTAAAAATGCTATCCCCCCCCAGATTTTTTGGGGTTCCTACGCCCATGGGCCAGGCCCAGACTTAGGGAATCGGACATGTCTATATGCCATTCATGTTTAAAGGGACACTATAGTCACCCAGAACACTTCAGCTCAATAAAGTGGTATGGGTACCAGGTCCCCCAGGTTTTAACCCTTCAGATGTAAGCATAGCAGGTTTACATTGCTGTGTTAATCCAGCCTCTAGTGGCTGTCTTCCTGCGGTTGCGCATTCCGCTTCACTCTGGAGCTGACGTCAGCGGGGGAGGAGAGATCACCAGCGTCGAGGGAGCCTGGCGCTGGATTAAAGGGACACTCCAGTGGCAGGAAAACAACCACCCCATCCCCGGTTGCTAATGGGGTGAAAACCCCTTCAGTCACTTACCTGAGACCCCCGCCGATGTCCCTCAGTGGTGGTTTCGGGTCGCCGCCGCTCCTCCCCCTCCTTACGTCAGCCAGTGGGCAATGCCACGCCCACGCATTAGAGCTCTCCATAGGAAAGCACTGAAAATGCTTTTCAATGCTTTCCTATGGGGAATTGAGCGACGCTGGAGGTCCTCACAGAAAACCTGTGCTATAGACACGGAAGTGCCCTCTAGTGGCTGTCTAGTAGACAGCCACTAGAGGAGGAGTTAACCCTGCAAGGTAATTATTGCAGTTTATAAAACACCAAGGTCACTCAATACCTCCAAAAATGCTCCAGAACTGCTGAACGCTGTTGGAGAAAGTCTCACTGTGCATCTGACTTTCTCTACTATAAATTTATGCTGAGCTCATACAGCTTGGCTTTTTCCTCTGCAAAAGTTAATTACTTCAATAACCTCATAACCACACTCTCCCGCGAACCCAAACGACTATTTCACACATTTAACTCTCTTCTTCGTCCTGCTGTTCCTCCTCCACCTACTAATTTGACCGCCTCAGACTTTGCAACTCACTTCACTGACAAGATCTCTACAATCAGAGAAAAGACCTCTCATCTTTCTTCTTCCCCTTACAATACTTCCCCTAACTTCACTCCCTCTGCTGTTCTATGTTCATTCGCACCAGCTACATTGGAAGAGGTTTCTGCTCTGCTCCAGTCCTCCCGCCCCACCACCTGCTCCCTAGATCCAATTCCCTCGCATCTCATCCGTACTCTGTCTTCTTCTCTTTCTCCACCTCTCACTAAAATTCTCAATCTCTCTCTCTCTCCTCTGGTATATTTCCATCGCCCTTCAAACATGCAACTGTCACCCCAATTCTAAAGAAGCCCAATCTTGACCCTAACTCCCCATCCAACTATCATCCTATCTCGCTACTGCCTTTTGCATCCAAGATCCTTGAAAGCATTGTGCATGCGAGATTGACAGACTTCCTCGAGTCCAACTCTCTGCTAGACCCGCTTCAGTCTAGTTTCCGCGCTAAGCACTCTGTGGAAACGGCACTGACCAAAGTACCCAATGATCTACTTGCTGCAAAATCTCGTGGTCACTACTCTATCCAATTCTCCTTGACCTGTCTGCAGCTTTTGACACTGTTGATCATCAACAGCTTCTTCTCATCCTCCGCAATATTGGTCTACAAGATATTGCTCTCTCCTGGTGCTCCTCCTACCTCTCCCAGTGCTCTTTCAGTGTTTCTTTCTCTGGCTCAGCTTCTTCTCCCCAACTCCTCTCTGTTGGTGTCCCCCAAGGTTAAGTCCTTGGTCCCCTACTGTTCTCCATCTATACTGCCTCCCTTGGTAAACTCATTAGCTCCTTTGGTTTCCAATATCATTTCTATGCAGATGACACGCAAATCTACCTGTCCTCTACTAATCTCTCCCCGTCCCTCTTGACTAGTGTCTCTGACTGCCTCTCTGCTATTTCTAACTGGATGGCTGCCCACTTTCTTAAACTAAACTTGACCAAAACTGAAATTCTGGTCTTTCCTCCCTCAAGTGTTGATACTCCTGTGTCTGTCTCCCTCCAAGTCAACGGTGCTACCATCAGCTCCACCACGCAGGATCGCTGCCTAGGTGTTCTCTTTGACTCCGACCCCTCCTTCAAGCCTCATGTTCAATCTATCACCAAATCCTGTCATTTCCATCTCACAAACATTGTGCGCATCCGCCCTACTTAACACTAGATGCGACTAGGGTGTTGGTCCATTCCACTGTCCTTTCTCGCCGTGACTACTTTAATCCGCTTCTCAGTGGTCTTACATTCTCCCAACTTGCGCCGTTACAGTCCATAATGAATGCGTCAGCGAGGCTCATCTTCCTGTCCGCCCGCACCTCCCATGCCTCACCCTTCTGTCAGTCCCTACATTGGCTTCCTATAAAATATAGAGCTCAATTTAAAATTCTGGTTCTTGCTTTCAAATATCTACATAATGCTGCTCCTACCTATCTATCCTCCTTTATACACAAGTATGTCCTGTCTAGGCCCTTACGATCTGCTGAAGACTTACGTCTATCTTATGTCTGTACTCCCACCTCTGATTCTCGCCTTCAAGATTTCTCGAGGGCTGCACTGTTCCTGTGGAACTCGCTTCCCTCCTCTGTTAGATGCTCACCCAGTCTCCAGTCTCCAAAAAATCGTTAAAAACCCACTTCTTCATAAAAGCGTATCAATTAAACTGTTAATAGATCTCAACTGATTCCTCTTCTGCAACTGTCACTAGTCTAATACTATCCTTACCTTTTGTGTCATTTTACCCCACTCCCTCTAGCATGTAAGCTCATTGAGCAGGGCCCTCAACCAGTCTGTTCCTGTGTGTCCAAACCTGCTCTGGTTACAACTATATGTCTGTTCGTCCACCCATTGTAAAACGCTGTGGAATTTGATGGCGCTATATCAATACCATAATAATAATAATAATAATAATAATAATAATAATAAGTGGTCTGGGTGCCTGGAGTGTCCCTTTAAGGTAAGTAGTTGAAGGGGATTTAACCCCTTCAGCACCAAGGGACGGGGGGGCCCTAAGCAGTATATAGTGTCAGGAAAACGAGTTTGTTTTCCGGACACTATAGTGATCCTTTAAATCGGGCACCTAGGTTTTTATACAGATTTTTTCACAATTCGTAAGACAAGGTAATCACATTTACAATACTAAGACACAACTAAATTAACAAATACAACAATAAAAAGAGAAACTCTAAAATACAAACATAAATTATTTTTATTGAGACAAAGACCCTAATCCGGGGGTAGGCAACCTTCGGCACTCCAGAAGTGGTGGATTGCATCTTCCCTGATGCTTTGTCAGCATTCAGGGTCGACTTTCCCCATAGGCACGCTGGGAAGTTGCCCTCGGGGCCCAACCGCACTGCCCATAGGACAAGGCCGACAGGGGAGATCCTTTCATCTCCCCTGCCGGCCCATGTACAGCCGGCCTCCCTCGTCAGCCCACAGGCACTTTGTAAGGGCAGAAGGAAGGAAAGATTGTTCCTCCCACAAGCAGGTGAGTCAGAGCGTTGCCGCTCGTTACTATGGTAACGCCCCGACAGGAGAAGTAAAGGCAGCCTGCAGCTGGAGGAGCTGCAGGCCAAATTTCCCTCGCTACCAGAGGACAACCAGGACTTGTCCTACCTCTCCCTGGCAAAGGGGGGGGGCGGGACAGGACATAAAACCTTTATTTATCAATGTTCTTAAAATAATAAAATATTATTTTTCTCCCTTATCACCCCCCCACACACACTCACTGCACCCCTCACACACACTATGCACACCCCATTCCACCCCAACACAAACACACTTCATCCTTGGCAAACACTGCACCCCTCACACACTTTGCACCACTACACACATACACTGCACCCCTACTACGCCCCTCATAAGCACTGCCCTCCACACACATACTACACCCCTCACACACAAGGCACCCCTCGGCAGTCTGTGTGTGTGTATGCAGCAGTCTATCTGTGTATTCAGCAGTCTTTGTGTGGGTGTATTCAACAGTGTGTGTAATCAGCAGTCTGAGTTTATGTATTCAGTAGTCTATGTGTGTTTAATTTATTAATGTCTCATCTATTCAGTTGTGATGGTAGTGGTTTCATTTGGAGTAGGTAGAGTAGAGAGCTCTTCTCTGTGTAAGAAACACTGCTGTTTAATTACTTCCGGAGTTGTTTCATGCTGCCAGGAAGTGAAGGTCATTGATATTCGACTTGCCTTTTTCAACTTTCAGTTTTGTTTTTTATTTATGTGTCACAGTGCCACCTTGTGGCATTTTTCTTAAACTTCTTTTTAGAGGTCCTCCAACTTCCTCAATTGTTATTCTGTAATGTATTGGTAACACTACAGATAAAGTGGGGAAACACCCTTCCTCTGAAAATATACACCTGGGAAAAAGGGGTGCTGAAAGATGGGACATTTACAAAATAGGGAATTGTGCAGAATTTCAAACATAATTCTAAAATTTAAAGTGACACTAAAGAAAATGTACCAAAGCAACTTTATCTTAATAAGCCGTTTTAGTGTATAGATAGTGTCCCTGCAGTCCCACTGCTCAATTCTCTGCCATTTACGAATTAAATCACTTTGTTTCTGTAACCATAGTCAAATCCCTATGCAAGTGACTTACACAGCCTTCCTAAACACTTCCTGTAAATAGAGATCTAATGTTTCAACTTCCTTTATTGCACTGTCTGTTTAATTTAGACTCCCTTTTACTGCTCTGTAAACAGCCTTCAATACCCTGCAGCAGTGTCCTGTTTGTGATTATTGAAGTTTAATTTACAGAGGATCAGATTAAAACTGTTAAAGTAAGTTACATCTGATTGAAAGTGAAACCATTTTTCTTTCACGCAGGCTGTGAGAGTCATAGCCAGGGGAGGTGTGGCAAGGGCTGCATAAACAGAAATAAGAGTGATTTAACTCCTAAATGGCAGAGAATTGAGCAGTGAGACTGTAGGGGGATTATCGATACTTTAAAGGGACACAATGGGGAGAGGAGAGATGTAGTGGGGCACTATAAGTAGCTATAGTGCTAGAAAAAAAAATTGTTTTCCTAGTACTACAGTTTCTAAATTTAACCTAAAGATTTTGGATGCTTAGAGTATCCCTTTAAGTCAAAACAGAATATTATTGAACATAGTGGATTGGAGAGGTTTTCAGCATTACTATATGCAGTTTAAAATTTTGCAATGCTGCTCTCAATTCAACACAAGTCGCCCAACTGGAAAAGAAAATGCTGAAAAGGGAAGTGTCCCTGACTTCGGCTTGTTACGGACTATTCTTTCTATGTTAAATCTAAGGCCCAGTAATAAATGTATCTATTTTTGTAAAACAAAATTGATCATTTTGGGGAATTATTTTATCTTTTTAATGTATAAATCTATATTATCAGCTGTGGATTATACTCAGTCAGTGCTCTACCCTCCCCTGCAAAGAAACATGAAGAAAGCTAAGTTAGTAAGTGGTGTGGTGTTTGTTACATAGATTATCTCCAAACTGCCAGTAAAAAAGTCCATGGATCTACATGTTCTAGGCAGGATTTCATTGTACTGGATCCTTTCTGTGCTCCTCGTCATGCTGAAATCGATTTGGTCTGTATGGAAATTTTCACAGAAAATTGATGAGTAAAACCAGGGCTGGTGGAAGACCATTTTAGGCACTATACAAGACCACTTGCCTCTCCCCCACCCCAGCTCTTGGAGTTATATAACACTGTCTCTGACCAGGTAAAAGGTCACACGAACATGCGTGTGTCGTCACGTTGTTATGGGCAAATGCAAATATTACAAGTTTTAGAATGAAATGTTGTATTTCTTAAACTGTGTACTTTGTCTTTAAGAGATATTGCAAATTGACAAGGTGTTAGAAATGGAACATAATGTTTTTCATAGATGTTTCTTTAAAGGGACACTGTAGTCACTATAAGCATTTCATCTCTTTGAATTGGTTATAGTGCCTGGAGTGCCCTGGCACTGTCCCTCCATTCAGTGTTGCACCATGTTCGTGCAGTATGCCACAAAATAAGAGTCCCTGGCCACCCACAATCCGGCCCCTTCAGTATGTGTAGCTAAGGCAGAGATTACACACTTCCTTGTTGTCATACCCATTCATACCGTCAGTTGGAACTCTGACAGGCTAAAAGCAGTCAGCTGACACTCTCAGCCAATCACAGCTGCCTATTGCTGCTCAGGCTAATACTTCCTTATTAGCCAAAGCAGCACAGAGGGGATGGATTGCCGGGGACTCTTGTTTAGCATTAAAACCTTAAACGTTTAAAAACTGTTTAATGCTGAAAGAAATGATGGTACCAGAGGACTCCAGACACTATAACCAGTTTAATGAGATGAAGCAGATACAGTGCCTATGGTGTCCCTTTAAGCAATAACCTCAGTGCATATTATGTTTACGTCATCTTGTCCCAGACGAATTACAATAACAATAATGCATAAACAAGCTTCAAGGCTATCCTATGACTCTTTCAGTACACAATATACTGTGGTAACCCTAAGTAGATAAGGATGTTCAGACTTTAAGATGCCATCTTGAAGTCAGGAAAATTTCCATGACGTATACACCCTTTAGTTATGGACTTGTATTTTTGCCAAGTTAAGGGAGGTCCTAAAATGAATAAAGTAAAAGAAGTGTTACTTTTTCATATATGAACTATGGTAACCCTAAAATGGAGACACCTAAACATATAAATAGGTGTACTTTTAAATGTTAAAATGACAGAGAGGCTGACATGATGACATGTTCAGAAGGGTATGATATTTGCAAGCATTTAGTTTAATCTTATAAACTCTGCTATAAATTATTGTAATGGATTTTATATGTCTATATTTATATTTTTATATAATAAATAAAATAAGACAAAACTTAATTGCTTCCAAGACAATCCTTATTTTATATTGTATTCTCAATAATTTATATATGCTAAATAGAGGATCTCTTACACTAACTATATAAAATTATAGCTAGGATATCTGTATGGTTAGCCCTGCTAAGTTCTATGCTTTAATACGTTATAGTGGTAAATAAGGGAACCAGCCGCGGTTACAACGTCATTGACACGCAAGCACATTCTGGAATCACATGACCCATGTTAGCCAATTAACTTTAGAGCTACCTAAACCTTCTATTACTGTTTTACATTGCCCTGTCGTGGTTTCCAGTAGGTTATGAAAAAGCGCATTTATTGAGTATGTCTTCTGTAATTTGATCTTGGCTTGTTCCTGACTACCCATATTTCTGATATCTTTGACATTTTGGCTCTCTATTTGTTTATGATTCTGTCTGTGTCCCTGACTTTGGCTTGTTACTGACTATTCTTTCTATGTTAAATCCGGCCATTCCAAGGCCCAGTAATACATGCATCTATTTTTGTATTTTCTCAGTGTTTTATTTAATTTTGTGTGTTGGGCCACAATTTTGTCCTGACACACTCCCCCCTACCACAGTCCTCTGTGTGTCATTCTCCTCCACCCAAGCCCCTCCTTGTGGTCTCTCCCCTACCCACTGCTCACTTCCCTCCTCCTTGTATTGTGGCCTAGCCACAGACCAAGATAGAGGAGCTTGTTTTACTTTACCTGGTCTGACAGGAAGCAGTTCGGCGCTCTCTGAGAGCACTTCCTGTCAGGCCAGGTAGAGGATAGAGAAGCTCCTCTACCACGGTCCGTGGATCAGTCACGCTACATGAGATGACTGGCAAAAGGGGAGCACTATGCTGTGCGCTCCCATCATGCCAATTGCCAGGACATTGCGCCCTCGGGGCCAGTGCGACCAAGCAGCTGCCGAATCCGCCTAGAAGTCGCACCGGCCTAGAGTAAGACATGATGTATATGTATGAATATTTGAAAGAGACACTATAGGCACCAATTGAATTGTATTGCTTTTGGCCTATAGCATTAGCTTTGCAAGCACATACAGTTTTCCTCCAAGTAAGAATAGGCAGGAATTCAAAGTGAATTTCAAATTTGATATCAAATCAGCTGAACTGGAACCATAGCCAACTGGGAGAATGTCTCACTTTGAATTCACTTTCAGTTCCTAACAATTCACACTTTAGTGAGTAACGCTAATAATGTATAGCATATTGAAAAAATAAATAAAATATAAACGGTTTGAGACATTCTTACTGCTTCACCCTATCACCCTGCACCTAGACACCCCACACTAGTTCTAGATTCCTTCATTTGGATTCTGCTTTAGGTATGTCTGGGTCATTCCTTGGCGCATTTCCGACCAATAAATAATCCTAAAACTTGCACAAAACTGACATATCTGCCCGTAGTAATAATATTTATTTATAAAGTATTTTACCAGGAAGGATATATTGAGATTTCCCTTGTTTTCAAATATGTCCTGGGCCACAAACATAATAAAAATGAACTACATTGGTGCTGTAGCAGGCTTATGCAATATATGATCATACACTGTAACTAAACCCCCTTTATTTGTGTTAAAAGACCCCAAAATGACATTTTGTGACCTTTGAAGTTGGTGTTTATCGAGTATGTAGAATTTTACCTTAAGATACAGTCAGGGCCGGCCCAAGACATTGTGCTGCCTGGGTCGAAGGATGATATGTTGTGTTGTGAGCGCTCTGACCGTAGTTAAAAGATAATTTGCAAACTAACTTACTTTACAATAAACTAACTTAATTTACAGATAGGCTTATCATTTATACACAATTGAGGGGTATGGTTGCATATCCCAGCAGTCGTGTATACACAAGAACCAGTGTGAAGTGGTTATTAAAAACAAAAATTAAAAAAGAAAAAAACTTTTAAAAATAATTTACCAAATAATAAAGTTACATATATCAACTTCTAAATAGATGGTATTTGACCCCAGCATGAATGGTAAAAATGTTCTCTGAGGAGATCTTTTTCTGTTGGAGATGTGGTCGATTAGATATGAATGAAAGACATATTTAGTGGGATTGCCCATTGATACAAACATGTTGGGTATCAATCCTCTGAAATATTAATAGGCTTTTAGGAACAAGGCAAATATGGACAGCTGAGATGGTGTTACTACATCTCAATCTACTATCTTTGCCTTTAAATAAAAAATGTTTACTTATTCATATACTTCTGGCATTTAAAATGTCTATAGCCAGAAATTGGAAAACGGCACGGGTAGAATCTAGGCAAACTACAAAAGAGGTTTTTAAATATCAGTGTAAAATGGAAAGAGACATTGTGTCCACATTCTGTATTAAGTCTAAAAAATATAAAATGTGGGACAAGTGGATTGAAAGTTTCCGTTTTCTTTTGTTTTAGTGTGAGGTATGTGGGTTTTTATCCTTTTGCCTGCTCTCCTTTGTCTATCTGAAACATTGCCTGGTAGAATATATAACGTGCTTCGCCGCACATGCGCACATACTTCATAGGGCGGCATTCATGCCGCCCTCTGAAGTCCTGAGCGCACTACCGCGAGCTGAGCTGACTGACAGCTCAGCTCGCAGTCTTTGCCCGCCCCCTCTCCTCTGCCGACAGGCAGGAGAGAGAAGGCACGCACACAGTGCCTTCTCTCTTCTGCATACGTCAGACGTATTTTAATACGTCTGATGTGTACAAGGCCTTTTTAGGGCCCTACCTGATAGGAAGTCCCTCTGATGGCCGTCTGAGTGACGGCCACTGGAGGTATTCCTATCAATCAATGTAAACACTGTATTTTCTCTGAAAATACAGTGTTTACATTAGATTGCCTGCAGGGAGCTATAGAACTCACCTGAACAACTACATTAAGCTGTAGTTGTTCAGGTGACTATAGTGTCCCTTTAATTTTATCGAAAATTTTAATTTTTATTCCTGTGAGTGGTTGTGTAGGCAGGGCCCCAGTGCAGCGCTTTGCCCGGGGGCCTGTAATGCTGTTAAGATGGCCCAGTTAGCACTAGACCATAGGCGGTCGCCTAATTTGCCCAATTATAGAACGCCTCTGATCAGATATACATACAGTGACAAACATACATAGTCAGATATACATATATATACACACATTTAAACACACACAGATATAAACACACCAGATGCACACACAGTCAGATATACACATAGATACATGTATGCACACACACACACACACACAATCAGATATATATACACAAATATTTATACATGCACACAGATATATTGACAGTAACACACACAGTCGGATATACACAGATACATTTATACACACACAGTAAGATAATATATACACAGATATATTTATGCACACACACAGATATACATACAATGACACACACAAATACACAAACACACCGATAAATACACATAAATGATTTACAACATGCATATTCTTGGCCACGCTCCTCCTGTTCCCATACTTTTTTGGTGCATGAGGAAGTTGGCTACTCTAGGGTCAAGTCTGGACTGGAGCTGACTTAGTGCTTTGCTATGGCATTATTATTTTTTTTCCCATTGAAAATAAATTCAATGCAAATTAAAAGCTGCCTTTATGAACACTTCATAAAGATTTTATCATTTTGAAATACTCAACTTTTTTTTTTGGCCTACATGTTGCGAAGTCATGTGTTTATTCATCCCATTTCTTTAATTTCTATAAAATCGCACTTCTTATAACAGTGAAAAAGTAACTCAACTTGTACTGCATTTTATAACATAACTGTAATCATTAGAGTAAGAAAAATGAACCTGTATTGCTTTGTATTAATATCCTCCTCTCAGACAACATGTAATATCAATTAGTCAGTGTCACTTTATCATTTGATTTAACATCAGCAAAGACTCAAACATTACATAGTTGTGACACAGCAGAAGGTAATGGAAGACACATGCTATAGTGAACATGCACACACAACACGATTTGTGAAACAGCAGCATTTCAATAAGTAAGCGAACACAATTACTAGCTAATCACACAGCTTTCAAACATGCCATTAATAATGTCTCACCAGTGATACCAAAAATACACACACAAAAATCACTCAGACTCATGCTGACATCCAACTATGAAGATAATCGTCAAAGCAGACAGTTGGCCAAATTAATCTTACATAGCATCATGTGACATTACACTGAAAGATAAAAAAACATTTTTTAATATTCCATGCCAAGTCATCCGATGTCACAGTACGATGCATTCATTTCAAGTACTCAAGAAGATGAACAATGTTTGGACAGTTTAGTATACAGACCAATGTGGGAACCAACCGGTGTTTTACTTTTAGATTTCTAGTGATAAAACAGTATTTGTTGCAAGGTTGCCAGGTCTTGATGCCGTTGGACTCTACCTGGAATGTCCTGCCAGGAGTGATCATATACACAGAGATTCCAAATAAAATCTAGAATAAAAGGTTTGTCTTCAAACTACAGGGCAGCACTGTTTACACACAGACCATTATCATAACAAGTAGTATGTGCCCATAGGATTCTGGAATTTATATACCCCTCATGTCTGAGACAGGCAGTTCTGGTCACCGGAAAGGAAGTTTAAAAAAAAATTATTTTAGCCCTGCCACTGGATTGGTGCCCCACAGGGGGTGTATCTCGGCAGGTGTAGAAACATTCTGGCGGACTGTTTGTTCATTATTGATTACGTGGAGGCTGTAGACAGATGCTCTTTGCATTGCACAGGGCTGGAAGCCATCAAGATACAGCGTGGTGTCATATCCCGGCGGCGGACACACTATGCATGGCAGAGAGAGATGAAACATCTATGCAACTGCTGGTAATTGAAATAACTTAATGGAATGTGCGGTGTGTTAGTGTGAGAGAATGTGTAGTTTGTGTGTGCGCATGTTAGTGTCATGTTGTGTGTCATTGTGCAGCATGTTTGTGTATGTATCAGAAAGTGTATCACAATCACATATTGCCAGCACAAACCACAAATAAACACAGTCAACATTCACCTGTAAATGATAGGAAGAGTGGTGTTACAGTATTTTTTTTACTTTTTCACAGTAAACAACCATGCTAACATAAAATTATCAATAACTGAAAGTATATAAAAATAGAAAAAAAAAAAAGATATATATAAACAAAAACAATAAATAAAATACACCCATATACACAATAAAGGAACTATGCCCAAAATATAAAAAAAATAAACATAAGAAATTAAAACAATTTCACGAGTAGTCTATACAACACCCAAGTTTTCAAAATAAATAAATAAAAAGTTTTGATGAATGGGCTAAAGTCCCTTAATAATTATAATGTCCATAAAATCTTTCTCTCTGCATGATTGGGCTTTCACTAGCGTTCTATACACTGAACAATTGTATTCACCACCACCTTCTTCCCCTACAGCTTGTGAGTACACTACATAGGGGGGCTTTAAAGGACTGCTTTTACAGTCTTGCAGTCACAGACTTGCACTTTCTTATGTTGTTGTTAGTTGGTTTTTTTTTAATGCATGCTGGCACTTTACCTTACTCTTTTATATACTCGAGTAGCATAGGAAATAGTGGAGGAATATATATATATATATATCTCCTTTCCAAGCTTCATGAAATGATTATTTTATAAAACAAATTAGTTTTGAGGTGGCGGTTTTCCCTTAAGACCAGAAAAGAGAGTTGTTATGCTCTCTAAGCTTTTAAATACTGCAGACAAAAAAACGATGTTTGTTCTTAATCAATAAGCAATAACATGAGTTATAAACATGTGTTGTCTTGTGTGGTATGCCCCCTACCCCCTTTTAACCTTTATATCGTTCATTTTTCAGTGGAGGTTAGTAGTAGTAGGTTAGTAGTAGTATAACTTGTCAGGGCATACCTAAAAATCAAATGTGATACTACAAACTCATGCTCTTACAGAGATGGTGGCAATTGACTCGAACTCTCACAGGACGGCAGGGAGAGGCATCCAAATATGTTCACTTCATGGACAATTTCTAGACAAGGGATTGAGAACACAGTTAAAACCAATACACTGCAATAAAAGAAAGAAATAATAATATAAACAATGCACGAGCAAATATAACATGGTTACAGGTTTTTTTTTGTTTTTTTTAAAATGTTATAAATGGTGATATGGTGTAGGTTTGTATAAATTTATTCACTGAATTGCAAATTGTCAAGAATTTCACATTTTAGGATAAAAAGACAAACTGGATAAAATCCTCTAATGTGTTCTGTTTCAGGATTTTACCACACATGTTTATGTTATAAATTATATAGATCAGTTTTGTTTTAACTTTTTTGTATGGAAGTCTGACAAAATCTCTATATCATCAGCTTGTAAATCTACTACTGGTAGAAGGAACAGACCTAAAAAAAAAAAAAACAAAAAAAAAAAAAAACAACTGTCACCTCAAAAGTATGCAATACAATCCTTTCATCAAGTTTTTTCTGACAGTTGAGATCCTGACATTTATTCTGTACAAGTCTTACTGTTATTCAACCGCATGCTGGAAATTCAAGCATGTTAGTGTACTATAACCTCAATAAAAATATAAATAAATAACAAAAACCACACATCTCATCCTTACCATATGTCAAGATCCTTCAACCATATGCATGCACCTTGGGTCTGACAGTGTTTAAAAAACAAATATTAGTCTCAATGGTCTTCCCACAAAGATTAACAAAGACCATACTGCATTTAAGGGTTACTGCCAAAGAACACCCCAATATGTGTTCAGCAACATCTCCTGAGTACAGTGATATCCCCCATGTATAGGTGTGTTGGGTTCTCTGGGGGCTAAAAGACCTTATTTGGAGGGTGCACATTCCAGTTTTCCAAATTATTAGGAATTTTCACAGCTGGTCATCAGACACCCATGTCCCACTTGGGACATTTTTGAAGCCAGCCAATGTAATTTGCCCCCATCAAACCATATGTTTTTGAAAAGTAGATACCCTAGGGTATTTCAAATGGTGGTATTTTAACACTTTCCATGCACTAATTCTACCACCAGTCTCTGTCAAACGTTTGGGTAGTCATTGTGTTATTTTTCACACACATTCTATTTTAAGCATGGATTCTCAGTTCCTGATATGTGTTACTGCCACAGAACACCCCAATATGTGTTCAGCAACATTTTCTGTGTACCATGATACCACCTATGCATAGGTTTGTTGGGTTGTTTGGGCGGGTGCAATGCCAAACTTCTGACATGTGTTTTTCAAATTTGATATATATTCTTTGCCTATCTTCTTTTTGGGGGCCTTTTTGATATCCCAATTTATATTCTTGCAATGCGCGTGCATATATTTGAAATGTTGACACCCCACGGTATTGTATATGGAGTGTTTTGATGCCTTTGATGCAATCGTTTTTGTCAGTTTTCATTTTTACAAACACATTTGTGTGTGATTTAGGAGCCTGTCATTGGTTATTGCACAAAAACACTCCAGGTTGTTTTCTGCAAGGCCTCCTGAGTACACCTATGCCCCCCCATGCATAGGTTTGCCAGGATTTTGTGAATGTTCAGTTACAATTGTATGACTTGTAATTTGAGTTGAAATTGAGAGTATTTCTTATGATAGGCCTATCTTTGGGGCTTATCACGTACCCCAGTTTTATTTATTGCCATGAAAGTGTATATATTTGAAATGTAGAAACCCAGAGGTATTGTATATGCAGTGCTTTGATGCCTTTGATGCAACCGTTTTAGCCAAAAAAAATGGAGAAAGTGTGTAGTGGTAATTTTTCAGTTTTCATTTTACACACACATTGCTTTTTGACTTTAGGAGAGCCTGTTGCTGGTTATTGCAAGAAAACACTCCAGGTTGTTTTCTGCAAGGCCTCTTGAGTATACCCATGCCCCCCATACATAGGTTAAATGTAACAAAAAACAATGTCAAATGTTGAAAAAAAATGGACCAGTGTGTGGTATCGTTTGAAGCAGTCCCCAATGCAGAGTCCAGGCCAATCAGGACAGTAATATACGGTATATTTTCTCTGCCCCCTCTTAAAACAGACTTTGCATCTTTTTGGAGGATTCTGCTTTGCTGCAGTGGGGGGGGAGGGGGGGGGTTTAAAAATAAATGTGTAGCCCCCAACTCTGCTCTCTCCCATCACCGCCCGGGGAGCAGGTGCATCACAGTACAAAATCCCCGAAATGATCTGGCGCTGAAACTGTAAAAAAGTCAGTTGCATTCTGGGGTTTCCTTTTGTGTGTGGGTTGCAATCTGCATTAAGTAGATTGCAACCTCTTTGTACCAAGCCCTTGTCTTGCATAAAATTAGGTAGGACTGCAGCAGATGATCTGCCAGATGAAGCCCACCCATAAGCCGGTTATAGGCCTTGATGCACACTGGCTTCCTTGTGCTCTCATCTCTGCCAGGTACAGAGACCTCCACAGTCCTCTCAGTGTGGATGGTGGTAAGAAGGTACACATCCTTCTTGTCGCTGTACTTAACTGCCAACAGCTCCTCTTGGTGCGGAGCTGAGGTCTCCCCCCTTTGTAGCCGGGTGCGTGCAAGTTGTCCTGGGAAACCTGCGCAGTTCTTTTTTATTGTTCCGCAAGCTAATGTATTAAAACAGTACAGTAGCTTAAACAAAGGGACACTTGGTTAAAAATTGTCTGTATACAAGTAGTACCCTTTGTTCATCAGGGGCAATATCAGGTCCCAGACAATCTTGCCACTGGTTCCCATATGTTCTGGGACACCTGGAGGGTCAAGGTGGGCATCCTTTCCCTCGTATACCTAGGTCTTAGTATACCCAGCCTCGCTATCACAGAGCTTATACACCTTTACACCATACCTGGAGCGCTTGGAAGGAATATACTGCTTGAATCCCAGCCTTCCATTATACTTCATCATGGATTCATCCCTGCATATATTCCTTCCCGGAGTATAAGCCTCTGCAAACCTGGCAGCAAAGTGGGTAATCAGGGGGTGGATTTTATACAGCCCTGTCAAACTGGGGATGCTCCCTAGGGGGGCACAGGCTGTTGTCGTTGAAGTGTATGAAATGTAGAATCATTTCATACCTCTTCCTCGACATACATTGGGAGTAAATGGGGGTAGAGACGATGGGGCTACTGCTCCAGTAGGAGCAGCTGGAGGGCTTCTTTATGATGCCCATCAGCACAGTCAATGCCCAGAATTTTTTAAATTAAGGCCAAAAAAGTCAGGCTTTGCAGCACGGAACTGATGGGCATATAAATTAGTTTGGGTGACAATGTTCCCCAATACATCAACGCCCAGAAACACCTCCATAAACTGCTGAGGGCTCAATCCTGCGAAACCCACATTGATGCCAGGATTTGCAGTGATATCTTGCCTCTGGCGATGAGGCACTACCCACTGTCAGCTGGAGCAGCACGTCTCCTTTTGGCAGGGGGACTAGCAGCCACAGATACATCATAACTAGATACATTACGAGCAGCAGACACTGTATCTAGTGATGTATCTGAGCACCTGGCAGGGTCAAAATCAGGGTCGGAGTCAGACATAGACGCGCCAGACTCTAGCGCAAGGATATACGCCTCCTCAGCGCTATACATCCTCTGTGACATGATCACAATCACTTTACTTAAAGGGACACTATAGTCACCCAGACCACTTCAGCTCAATGAAGTGGTCTGGGCGCCAGGTCCCTCAGGTTAAATTTAACCCTTCACATGCAAACATAGCAGGGTTAATCCAACCTCTAGTGGCTGTCTTCCTGACAGCTGCTAGAGGCACTTCTGCGAAGCTGAATGAGAAATTTTAACCCCTTCAGCACCACTGGAGGGGGACCCTGAGGGTGAGGGTCCCCCAAGGATGACATAGTGTCAGGAAAACAAGTTTGTTTTCCTGACAATATAGTGATCCTTTGATGAACTGTCACAAAAAAAAACATTTTAAAAAATGACCCACTAAAAATGCACATATAGCAAAAAGGTGTTGATTGCAAGAGCCAGTGATTATATATATATATATATATATATATATATATATATATATATATATATCACTGGCAAGATAGGGGTTAATGGCTCTGAAAAGAGCCTTTGGGTCTCACAATTTTACAAATACCGTATTTTTCGCTCCATAAGACGCACCTCACCATAAGACGCACCTAGTTTTTAGAGGAGGAAACCCAGAAAAAAAAATATTCTGAACAAACTGTTCCATAGTGTTTCTTACCATGGGACAGTTTGTTCAGAATATTTTTTTTTCTCCCCTGTCCCATAATGATCTTTAACCCCCCTTTCCTCTGTCCCATAGTGATTGTTAACCCCTCCTACCCTGTCCCATAATGTTCTTTAACCCATCCTCCCCTTGTCCATTAGTGTTCTGATCCCATAGTGTCCCCCCCTCCCATTGTCCCATAGTGCACTTTCCCTCCCATAGTGTCCCCCCCTGCCCTTGTCCCATAGTGTCTCCCCCTCCCCTTGTCCCATAGTGTGTCCCCTCCCCTTGTCCCATAGTGTCCCCCCTCCCCTTGTCCCATAGTGTCCCCCCCTCCCCTTTGTCTCATAGTGTCCCCCCCTCCCCTTGTCCCATAGTGCCCCCCCTGTCCCATAGTGTCTCCCCTCCCTTTCTCCCATAGTGTCTCCCCCTCCCCTTGTCCCATAGTGTCTCCCCTCCCTTTCTCCCATAGTGTCCCCCTCCCTTTGTCCCATAGTGTCTCCCCCTCCCCTTGTCCCATAGTGTCTCCTCCCCTCCCTTTCTCCCATAGTGTCCCCCTCTCCTTGTCCCATAGTGTCTCCTCCCCTCCCCTTGTCCCATAGTGTCTCCCCCTCCCCTTGTCCCATAATTACTTACCTGTCTTGGAGCGTGGGCTGGCTTCACAGCGCGCTCCGCGGTCCAGGAACTAATATTTCAGGTTCCGGTTTCCGGCGGGACTGAAAGGAAGTGTGCACACTCAGTGTGTACACTTCCTTTCAGTCCCGCCGGAAACCGGAACCTGAAATAGAAGTTCCTGGACCGCGGAGCGCGCTGTGAAGCCGGCCCACGCTCCAAGACAGGTAAGTAAATCTTCACATTCGCTCCATAAGACGCACAGACATTTCCCCTCACTTTTGAGGGGAAAAAAAGTGCGTCTTATGGAGCGAAAAATACGGTACCTACCTAAATCTCTCTACCTAAAACACAGATCTCTCTCCCTCTCTCACTAAAACACAAGTGAAGAGAGGGAGGGATATCCACACTGATCAGAGTCAATATTTACCAATACTGTCATGATCAGACAAATGGGGATCATAGTTAGAATAAACATTGTTATAGGAGCAAGCTCTGATTGGATGTCCCTAGCCTGCCTCTATGATGAAAGGCATCGCCATCTTGGGAGCCACATGTCAAGGGGGCGAGGGGTTAATAGGTTTAATTAATTTAATTTTTTTTCTTCCTTCTTTCTTCACTGAGTGCCTCGACCCCTTGAGGCACTCAGCACACAGGCAGAGCATCGGAAGACTGCTGGGCATCACATGGAGCAACCCGGACGTAATCGCTCCAAGGGGAGCGATCACCCGGCAGTAAGGAGAGGTACTGCACGATGCCTTGACATCGAGGCATTGCTGCAATACCATTAGAGCTGCTGGAAGCGATCATGACCGCTTCCAGCGCTCTAATTAGCTGCGGACGTATCAACTATGTCCGTGGTCCTTAAGGACCGTTTGTCGGACGTACCTAATACGTCCACGGTTGGGAAGGGGTTAAAAGAAAATATATTTCCTTTCAAAATTTGATGGAAGCATTTTTATATTGAATAGCTTTGAGGTGAGAGTCGACCATTAACATTTTAAGGCCAGAAACAAAAGCAAGTTATTTTGCTCTCTAAGACTTTGACTGCGGGAAAGTTAGTCTTTTGCCAGATTAGTGGTGCATGAAAATGTTTAAACCTTTTTTTTTTTTTTTCAGTTTCACAACTAGACCGCAATGCAGGTTTCAATAGTGATAGCATTTCTTAGAGCAACCCTAGAAATGAAATTCAGATAAATTACCAACCCACGCACCTGCTGAGATGGCAGCAATGGACTAGATCTGACATGCATATACTGTATCCAAACAAGGGTGTTTCTGAGAAACAAAAATGAAACAAAAACAAAAAACAAATACAATGTAACATTGCAACATGGCGAGATATACTTGTGTCACAGGCAGTGATAGTGACTGTGGTCACTGCCAGACTCTTACTCGGTAATTCATTTAAACAGGAATTGTGGGGAAATTAAAATTTTAGGCTAAAATAGACACACTTCACAGAATCTCCAAGTCAGCCATTTTTCCAGTTTACGTTAATTTCCCCAGACATTCGTGTATTATCTATATCAGTGTTGTCCACCTTCTTTGTAGAGGTTTGGACTTTATTGAACCGGCATGCTTGGAGACATGCAGTGCAGACCTGGTGCACTGAAAGGAAGGAAAGAGAATTGACAGGTCTGGGTGTGCAGACGTATTACTACCAACAGCGGAAAAGATTATTTTCTGCGTCTCTTCGATTGTGTAGCTGGCAGACAAGGAGGACTGCCTGTCAAACACAGGCACATGTAACCCTGATCTAACCAACGAACACCAACAATGCCACTGGCACTCCTGTACAAGTTCTGGGTGGAGTGACCTGCTACTATCAATTCTTTAAGTAGTAATTTTAATTGTGTATTTTTTGTAACTTAAAAGTGATACTGCTGATTTAAGAGACTAAATACTGTATAAATATATTTATAACAATCTAGTCTTTAAAAGGGACAGTCTTAAGACTATAACTACTGCAGCCCATTGTAAAAGTTATAATGCTACACTGAGGACGTTATCCTCCAGTGGGTAAAGCCATTTTCAAGCTGTTTGAGCAAAATAAGTGTCACACCAAGCTCCCACAGCCCAACCCCCACTTGCTATACTGCAAATATGCACTTTCCACCAGCACGATTTGTAGAAAGGAAGCTACAGTTTAATATAAAAGTAAACACAATTACTCACTAATCAAACACCCGTTACTCATGCAAATACCATAAAAATAAATATAGTAAAAGACTCCCATCATGCCAGCATTCCCCTCACCAATAAAATTAACTTTTAAAGTACATACAGCTATTATCTTTCTCACAAATCCCTTTTAAAATTTGCAAGTATCACAATTTTTTTTTTGTATTTACCGTATTTTTCGCTCCATAAGACGCACCTCACCATAAGACGCACCTAGTTTTTAGAGGAGGAAACCCAGAAAAAAAAAATATTCTGAACAAACTGTTCCATAGTGTTTCTTACTATGGGACAGTTTGTTCAGAATATTTTTTTTTCTCCCCTGTCCCATAATGATCTTTAACCCCCCTTTCCTCTGTCCCATAGTGATTGTTAACCCCTCCTCCCTGTCCCATAGTGTTCTTTAACCCCTCCTACCCTTGTCCATTAGTGTTCTGATCCCATAGTGTTTCCCTCCCATAGTGTCCCCCTCCCCTTCTCCCATAGTGTCTCCCCCTCCCCTTCTCCCATAGTGTCTCCCCTCCCATTGTCCCATAATTACTTACCTGTCTTGGAGCGTGGGCCGGCTTCACAGCGCGCTCCGCGGTCCAGGAACTTCTATTTCAGGTTCCGGTTTCCGGCGGGACTGAAAGGAAGTGTGCTGACACTTCCTTTCAGTCCCGCCGGAAACCGGAACCTGAAATAGAAGTTCCTGGACGGCGGAGCGCGCTGTGAAGCCGGCCCACGCTCCAAGACAGGTAAGTAAATCTTCACATTCGCTACATAAGACGCACAGACATTTCCCCTCACTTTTGAGGGGAAAAAAAGTGCGTCTTATGGAGCGAAAAATACGGTAACTCTATTAAAATGATATGATCTCCGCTCTCTTACAGCATGCTTTCATTTCCCTCAGTCAGATGTGTTAAAAGTTTAACCATGAAGACTATCATACAGCACACCAATAACCACTGATGTAATTGACAAAGCGACAATAAACTAGCCTTTAAAATATATCAGATGGTTTTTTATGACATGCGTAATTCTTGCAAGTCAATAGGAGAATAAGTCAATAGATAGTTGTTGTGCTGTCTAGAATTCTGCAACACAGATCGAATGAAAGTCTTGTTCCAAATCAATGGCGCAACAAAATTTTAAACCTGTTTTAGTTCAGTTTGTTTTCAGTTTCACACAGCTAGACCGCAACGCAGCTTACACGGTTTACATATTATGTTTAGAATGTGTCATAACATTTCTAAATAGATACCTTAGATAAGAAAATTACAAACCCACGTGTGTTTTTCCTGCAGTCACGAAAGGCATGGATGTAATGTGTCATGGGAACGGAAGGAAATCACATCTATGATCACTTCCTGGACACGTGGTGAGGAAGATTGTATAAAAAAATAATATGAGGATACAGAAGAAGAAAAAATAAACACCACACAATATTATATTATAGCATAGGGAGAAAGTTTTATCATAGAGTCTACCTCAGTCTTACTACTACATCATAGGGATTTATTCACTAAACAGTTAGTTGAGTTAACTTAAACTAGTTTGGTTAACATAGCCCTGTACTACTCTTCTGTACCTCCACTCAATAAATAAAAATGATTTGTTCTTCTATATAAGAAACTATAAGCTATTTACTAGACAATGTTTTGTTGGAAATGCAAAAAAAGTTAAAATATTAAAGGGATACAAACTGTATTTCTGGCACTATTGCCCCCCCCACTATTGAATGGGAAGTTAAGGAATGGCTGCATTCCTGCCTGGCGGCTCTACATGCTTCTTGAAACTAACATTTCACAAGCCAGATGCTTGAGGGGGGAGTCGAGAACAGCGCTGGAGGCAACTTTGGGTTTCAATCGCTCAAAGTAAGAGTGTGCCTGGGGGCCTTCTGACACCATAACAACTTAATGCAGATGGTGCTAAAACTGTTTATTAAATTAAAATAATATTATATAGCATAAATATAGAAACAATCTATATACTGGTATCTGCTTAAACATCACTGTTTGTTAACTGAAGTGGTTAAACTAAATTTTTTTTAAATGAAAAACAAAATCTGTAGAGATTAACTGGGTCGCCGCCAGGCGCCAAGCCTTCTCTAATGCTAGGTGATCCTCCTGGTCATTGATAGTCAGCTGAGTGCTCTCAGCCAATAAATGTGCAAAGAATATGTGCAGAATGGACAGCAGCCAGCCGAAAACTCCTTCTCGGGCTGGCTCTTGACGTACTTAATTTTTTTTTTTCAATTTATAATTTTTTAAATTTAATTATTTGTTAAAGCATAGTGGTTACAGAAAAGCAAGGTACATGTTAATATCACATGTGCTAGGCATCGTACACATTTAGTACCAGCAAGTACAATAACTACTGACGTACTTATGACCTTGCTGAAAGTGGAATTACAGCAGCTAGCAAAGTTTAATTTACCACAAAAAATATTCAATTATTGTTGTGGAAATAAGGTCCTCATATATTTCCTAGTTAGTAAAATGTCTATTTACTCATCTCACAAAAATCAGTATATAAGCTATACACATATATTTAGTCAAAATGGCTGCTAGAAGCTTCTAACCCCTCCTCCCCCAATAACATCGACTAACTACCTAGTGCAGCAAGATGGCGCCGGGAGACCGTGGGAGACCCTCATGGTCCCGGTGACATCACCCTCAGTAGGCAGAGCATTAGGGAGACCACGTAACACCTAACCAATTATTGATGTATTATTCCATGTTATCTCTGACAGTACCTATGATGTAATTTTGCATTAAAAGGGACTTGCCGTCCCCTCTGAATAAACATTCCTCAAGTTATTCAACAACCTGGAACCTGTGTCTGGTGTGAATTACTTCAGGGAGCGTGCACGCATTGTTTCACCAATTTGGCCAGGGGCAGATACACAAATAAATAATCAATTTATTGATTGATTTTTCCATTTCAATTATTAAAGGGACACTATAGTCGCCAGAACCACTACAAAATGTAGCTGTTCTTGTGCCTATAGCCTGTCCCTTGGCCTTCTCCATGTTAACGCTGCATTTTCAGAAAAAAGGCAGTGCTTACATTGCTGCCTAGTAAGACCTCTAGTGACATTCACTCAGACAGCCACTAGAGAGTCCTGTGTCATTGCTGCACAGTTTGCAGCACCTATATTCAGCATCTCCATGCTCTGCATGCAGGCGCTGAATGTTACCCATAGAGAATATGCACATTTCCTACAGGAAAACATTGGCAGAGCTGAGATAATAAAGACTGATGATCTCAGCTATGGAGGTGGACAAGCCGCGGTGAAACTGGCACGGTGTGGGAAAAAAGTGAGTAAAAACACCTCTCGTGATCAGAGGGGGGCTGGTACCTAAACACACACACAGACAGACTCTGACAGAGACATACACAAACACACTGACAGGGGTGAAATTTCTAGTCGCTATGACAACCTGGGATTTGTCGTGCCCTGAATTACAGCAATATACAACAATATCTGACAGCAATAGAAAATATATCACAATGTGCAGGGTTTTATATTGAAAAGCTACACATACAGACTCCAAGCACCATGAAGACTTCAAATTGCTGTGAAAAAAAAGCTGGTTTCTTTGCTTTTTACAAGCAATCGCTGTCCGGCAGCCATATAATCAACCCTCAAACTACTGAGGGTTATTTAACTATTTGTCAACTAGATGCTAGCTGGAAAATAGTTCCGATTTATTTATTTTTAATCCAGGCTCGGATTAGAAGCATTTGAGTCCTGATTTGAGCCGTTAGTGTTCGGTCCAACTGAAATTTGGACCAAATTCAGGCCCTTTTCGGTGTCTGAAATGCAAAATCAATGTATTGATTTATAGAGTACATAATATGTATAGGATTTCAACTTATTTTGAAAGTTCCAGGTCACAAAATACAAGGACTAAAATAAGATTTGTGAAAAATGTGAAACAATTTTAGAAGTTGGTATGTTTGTCTTGTAAGTTTAGAAGCCATTTCAAAAAACAAAAATGCCACACAAAAGTATCACTGAGGGAGGGAACATCTACCTCTTTGGAAAGGAACAGTAAGAGCATACTAAAAAGAGGAGTCTCTTGTTTAGGCCTTCCAAATATGGAAGACAATGCAGCCTACCATACACGGACTCGCTCAAGACAACCACAAACAAACTGACGGAGGAGATATTAGGTAACAATATGAATCAAATCATAAACCTCTCCTCACATACACTCAGAGAACCCGAAATCCAGGTCCTGCGGAAAGGTATGTCCTTCGTCCCTATACCAAAATTTGATAAATTCAGCTGGAAGAAGGACATACACCTCATTGCAAGGAAACTTGCACTTCATAAATTTCACCAACTTAAGAAAGAAAAAGAAAGCTCAGAATTTGGGATTACAGCTATCTGACATAGCTCTACTGGATACTTTGGTAGAACTCCTAATCAGTAACGATTCTTCTGCCATCCCAAAACCTCCATTTACACAACTTTAAAAAAAAAAAAAAAAAAAAGAGTGAATTCACCCCTCCCCCCCCCATCTCGCCGAGTTTAAATATAGAGACCTGTTCATAGAATTAACCTGCAGCGAGATTGAAAAATCAATAAGAATGACCTCACATTTGAATCCTGTAACAACATGGCCCCCAGTGAACAAATATCTCTTAAACTTAAAGAGGCAGAGGACATCAAAACCTCAGACAAAGGGGGGAATGGGGTCATCATGGATAGAGCTAACTATATTGTAATGGCTCAGCAGATCATTCAGGATGGAAACACATATGAAATACTCATTGGGGACCCTACCAAAAAATATCTAGTTGAGTTATAATCTCTCCTACATAATGCCCTAACTGCCTCCTTGATTTGAAAAGATGAATTTAATTTCATGTATGTCAAAAATCCGAAAATCGACACCCTTTATGCGCTACCGAAAGTGCACAAAAAAACACCCGCATTAACTGGGAGACCCATTGTTTCAGGTAGACTCAATCTGACTCAAAATATCAGTATCTATGTCGATCAGATGCTGAGAGAACTAGTCATGAAACTCCCCTCATGCCCAAGGGATACAAAACAGACATTCAATGTCCTTGACAGTCTACATCTGCCCAAAAATGCAATTATATGCAGCCTCTATGTTGAGGGACTATACAGTTCTATCCCCATTCGGTGGGCCTAGACCAACCTAAAGCCTCTCTAGATACACGTCCAGCAGCACACTTTGAGCATAATAAATTTGTACAACAACTGATGCGTTTTATTCTTACACATACTTTTTGCTTCAAGGGAAGTACTATCACCAGGTGAGAGGGACAGGTATGGGGACAGCTTGCACACCCTCATATGCTAAACTCCATCTGGGGGGTGGGAGAAAACTACAGTGTTTGGTACCAATTTAGCAGGATATATGAAACACATCAAATTATGGAAAATATAGATTGACGATATCCTTCTAGTATGGCCACACTGTCCCCGTTAAAATGAATTTGTCATAAGGTTTTTATATGTGTATTTCGTAAAGCTGGTGTGTGCTATTCCTGCACAGAACCCCATATTGTGTTCAACTACATCTGCTGAGTACAACAATACCCCCATTGTATGCCTTTGGCACTATTCTGTGATGCTACAATGCCATATAAGAGACAAAGCTATTTAAGTTTCTATAGTTAGAATTTTCATAGATGGATATGATGGGCCTATGCCTCATTTTGGGGCATTATAGCAATTTGACTGTTCAAATAACCCCACAAAGGGCTTTCATTTGAGAAAGCAGACACTCCAGGGTATCTTATATGGCGTATATGGTGCCTTAACTTGTCACCATCTTTTCACCAATTTATGTCAATGTTTGTTGTGAGGGAAAAAAATTTAATTTTTTTTTATATACATGTTGCATTTTTGCTGGGTATTTCTTACCCTTGATATGTGCCACTGTCATAAAATCCATCCCTCAAATTATGCTCAGTTAAACATTCTGAGTAAAACAATATGCCGAATGTATGACCTAGACACTATTTTGTTAAGTTACAGTGTTGTAAAAGAGACGTGACAAGTTCAGGTTTTTAAGTGTGAATTTTCATAGATGTTTTTGATGGGTCAGTTTTCCATTTTTGAACACTTTAGCAGGCTAGATATTTCAACTACACCATAAAGGCATACTATTTCTTAAAGAAGACATCCCAGGGTATTTTAAAAGGCATATTTTGAACCATGGCATGGATAAATTTTCCGCTAGCTTGTACCAAGTGTAGTGGTAATAAGCGTTTTTTCTGCCTTTTTGACACACGAGTTTACACGGTATTTTGCAAACCTGATGTGTGCTACGGCTGTATAGCAT